GAGCAAGAGGAAGATGAGGACCTGATGGGGGGGGGGGAGGGGGACGGGGGATCGATGGGGAGGGGGGATGATCGAGGGGAGAATGCACGCGGGGGAAGGGCCTCGAGGGGAGAGAAGGGGGGGGCAGTGGCATAAGGGAGGGGGGAGGGAGGGTGGAGGACGGGGGGAGGGAGGGGGGGGAAAGGAGCGGAGGGAAGGGATGAGGGAGGGAAGGAGGCCAGCATTCTGCAGGCGTCCTTCAAGGCCTCGACGGCTTTTGGTTCGCAGAGCACCTCGATCTCGCTGTCGGCCAAGCCCTTCTTGGCCTGGGGAGGACGGGGGCGGGCCCCCCCTCGTTCCCCGAGCCCCCCTCCCTCCCTCGAGCATCATCCATCCCTCCTTTGTTTCTCCCTCCCTCCCACGTCCTGCTCCTGCTCATCGCCCAAGTCCCCTCCCCTCCCTCCCCCACCCCCCCGTCCTCGCCCATCCCTCCTCGCCCTCCCGCCGTCAAACCTCTCATGCCCTTTGTCCTCCTTTATCCGCACCCACCTCGCCCCATCGTCATCCCCCGCCTCGCCCCTCCTCATCATCGGCGCCGCCGCCGGCGCCGTTGGTTCAAGCATCGCGAGCCGTGTTCAGCTCGGTGCCCCGCATGATCTTGTTCCAGAGCTTGTTGGACTTCACCGTGGCGTCGATCTTCGCACGCGCGTCCCTCATCCTGCCGATGACGGCCGGACTCCTCGCCCAGGCCCAGTCGCCACCCTTGGACTCCACGTCGTCCTCGCCCACGTCCTCGTTGATGGTGGCCTGGAGCGACGTGGAAGACTGGAGCACGCTCTGCAGGCCGACGATCACCCTGCGAGCCTGCCGCAAGCTCTTGGTGGCCTCGCTCGCGGTCTTCTTGCCAGTCTTGCTGCCCGCGGGCGGGGCGCCCCCCCCTCCAGCAAGTTCCTCTTCGTCATCTTCTTCTCCGGGTTCGTCATCTGGGCCCTCGGCCTCGCCGTCGTTCTTGATCACTGGCGTCTTCCTCGCGGCCGCCTTGCCACTGTCGCAGATCGCCTTCTTCTCCGACTGGGTCTCCGTCTCCGACCAGCGCTGCGTGAACTTCTCCCGGTACTCCTGGCTGAACCACATGAACTTGACGGAGCCGTTCTGCTCGTCGACGGCAACGAACGGGCATCCCATTGAAATGCACCTAGTGCACGCCGTGTAACAGTCATTGATGGTCTTCTCGTCCCATTGGCCGCGCGGCCCCCCCTCCTCGTAGCACATGCGAAGGAAGCCGACCATCTTGCCATTATTGATCCAGCTCTCATCCAACGAGGTGGTGAACTGCCGCTGGCGCTTGACGGCGTCCGCGTACTGCTTCACGACCCACTGCTTCTTCCACTCCTCCACGTCGGGGGCGCTTTTGAACTGCTTCTTGACCTTCGGGTTTTGGAGCTCGCGATTCAACCGCTGCCCCAGCGCCGACCGCATGGTGGAGGCATACGTTTTGTTCTCGACGATCTCCTTGGCCTGCGCGTCGCCCTTCGCGTACTTCTTCTGCATGCCCGATCCATCAGGCGGCGCGGGGCGGGCCTCGCCGTCCTTGGACTTAAAGAACTTCGCCCGCTGGCTCTCGTCGCGCACGAGATGCAATGTCTCCGCCGTCAGCTTCTCCTGGAGTGACTGGGCCAGGCACTTCTCGGGCGTGTCGCTCGGCATCCTGCTGGAGTTCGGTATCATTCCTCTTCGTCCTCTTCATCCACCTTCTCCCCATCCTCTTCATCCGCCTCATCCTCCCCCTCTTCCTCCCCCTCCTCCTCCTCCCCTCTTCATCCTCCTCCTCCCCCTCCTCTTCATTCCATAGGCATCCCCCCATCCTCTTTGTCCTCATCCTCCCCCTCCTCTATTTCTCCACCCTCTCCCCCTCATGTCCTCATTGCCGCCCTTGTCCCCTTCGGCCCGCCCTGTCTCCCCCTCGCCCATCGCCCTTACTCCCATCCCCCTAACAATCATGAAATCTGCCTCGCCTCCTACCCCTCCCCCGCCGCGGATGGTCCGTGCGCCGATCTGCCCCATCGGGGTGTTCACCTCGATCACCGACTCCGAGACCGAGCAGGCCGAACTCGGCACCTGCGTGGGCCGCCTGGACCGCCTCTGGCACGAGGGCGGATCGACCGGATCCAGCTGCTCGTGCGGCACCGCCCGCTCCTGCGCCATCTGCACCTTCTCGACGTTGCCCATGGGTGACTCGTCCGCGAGCTTCGACAGCCCGCAGCTCTTCTTCTTCTTCTTCTTCTTCTTGGGCCCAGCCTGGGGCGCCTCGGCTGCTGGCGCGGCACTGTCGTCGTCAGGCGGCTTGCCCGCGCGCCTGCCCGCGACTGCCGGACTCGGCGCCGCTGCGCTCGCCGGACTCGGCGCCACCGCGGCGCCAACGTACGCGCCCTCCAGACTCGGCGCCTGGCTCGGCGCAATAGCACCCTTCGAAGAGACGCTCACCGCCGACCCTAAGTCCGACCCTCCGCGCCGCCCACAACCGTCGCCTCGCCATCGGCAGATGGGGAGGCGGGGCGGGGCGGCACGTTAGAGTATGGACGTGTGGTCGTGGAGCGTATCTGACCTTGTTCGTGCGGCGCTTCTTCCCCCTCGTCCCTCTCACCTGCTGCCTCGCGTCGCCCTTGTCGTCCACGTCCTCGGACTGCGGCGCCTCCTCGAGGTTATCGTCGTACGTCTGCGCCCTCGGCCAGCGTGGATCGTGCCAACTCTTGTCGTAGTAGTACTGGAACGAGTCCTCGCGGTCGGGGTGCGCGTCGTGCCAAGCCTGCCCCATGCGGTTCTTCTCCTCATCGGAGGCATTCTCGTAGTCTTGCCACCATTCCGCCTGCTTCGCACCCCACTCTTCGGCATCAAACAGGAGCTCGCCGTACCCGCCACTCGCCGCCGCGCCGTTGCCCTTGTCACCGCCATCGCCATCGGCCGTGTCAGTCGACGCGGACTGCCCGCGGCGACGCTTCGAAGAGCGCAGGCTCCTGCGGAGCGCCTTCTCCAAGTCTGGATCAGGCTTGGCCGCTGATTCCCCGGCGATCTTGACGTCCTCGGACTTCGGTGAGCCCACGAGGGGGGCATCGTCGCTCGAGTCGGGGTCGCACTGCGTGCCTGCGGCGGGATCGGGGGCGGGGAGGGCGACGGCGCCACACCTCCTATCATACTGATGCATGATGCCACTCTTCAATCTTGTCATGTTCCCTCCTCCCTCGTCAAACCAACCCTTGATCATCGTCCCGATTACCCTCCTGATCCTCATCATCCCCCTCCTCCCCCTTAAATTATACGCATCCCCCCGCGATCCCCCTATCCCCCTCCCCCTGATGTCATCATCCACCACCCCCTAATCAGTGCTACCTCCGTCGTGCCCCCTCTCCTCTCGACACCCTCAAAATCATCCGTCGCCCATCCGCTCCCTCGCCCCCCCACCGCGTTTCCTTCGCCACCATGCCCCCCTCATGAATCCTTTTCCACCGCCGACCTGCTGTCTTCCTCGCTCATCCCTCATCCCACCCACCCCCCCTTGCCGCGCCTGCTGGCGCCAGACTGCCGCCGTCCGCGGGGGCGCCCGCGGCCGCGCCGCCGCCTCCGGAGCAGGGGGGGCGGTCTCGCTCTCTCTCTCTCGCCCCCCCTCGTTCATTCATCGAGTTTATGCGTGGCCGATGCGTCGGCGCGTAGAATATCTGATCATCGATGCGTCATCGATGCGTCATCGATGACGCATCGATGACGCATCGATGACCGCATCGCCGATGCATCGACGCTGTCCCGCGCGCTCGCAGGCGTGCGACCGGACGACGGTGGAGGAGATCGACCGGACCAGCGGGGCCAGGCCCGCGCCACCCTCGCCGCCCCCCCCCGAGCACGGCATTGCAAATATGGGAGGGGGGGAAGAATAGAGTCGCGAGGGGGGAGGGGCGAATGGGGGGCGGGCAGGGGATATCCAAACCAAGAGAGGACGAGCGCGAGCACACCAAGGCAGATGCGGGCGAGGAAGATGGGAGCAGCAATTGCTGGCGTGGACGGCGACGAAGGCGACGATGAGGGGCATTTAGATTGATCGGGGAAGGGGGAGGGGCGGGCCTGGGGGGCGGGGGAGGTCGGGGCAAGCTGGGCGCGGCTGGGAGGATGATGAGGACGCGAACGAGGGCGATGCTGCAGGTAACGAGGCGAGGGGGGAGCAGATGACGATGAGGGAAGGGCGGCGGGGGGGCCCTGAGGACAGGGGGGAGGGGGGGGGGCGGGCGATGCCGAGGATGACGAGGAGGAGGCACTAGGATGATGAGAGGGATGATACGAGGGAAGAGGACGAGAAGGAGGAGGAGGAAGATGGGGAGGAAGGGGAATGGGGAAGGGGCGAGGGGGGGGGGACGGCGAGAAGGAGGATGGAGAGGAGGCACTCGTTCTGGTCGCCCGCTCGCGTGCTGCAGCATGCGCGGAGCACACAGCAGCGGCGCTGACGCACGCTCGCGCCTGCGCAGATCGCACCCCCCCTCGGAGTCGACCAGCAACCCGAGAGGCCGAGTCGCCTCACGGGCTTTGAAAATCCGCGGCGTGCGGAGGCGATGCAATGCGGCAGCGCGCCGCCCACGTGCATCCTCGAGCCCCTCCTTCCTCCGTCGACCCCCTCCGCGTCCCGATCATCCCCCCTCCGCGCCATCCTAAGCCTCCGCCCCGCCCTCCACCTCTGCCGCGCCCTCCTCCTTCTCCCCCCTCCCCCATCCTCGATCCTCTGTCCTCGCCCCTCCCGCCTCCCCCTGATCAGATCCTCTTCATCCTCCTCCGTTCCTCCTCCTCCTCCTCCTCTTCCTCCTCCTCCCCCTCATCCTCCTCCCCCCTCCTCATTCCACCCCTTCACATTCCTTCCCACCCCCCGTAGCCCTTCCCCCGCCGCCTCCACTCCCTTCTCCTCCTCTTCCATCGGTTAGCCCGAGGCCGAGCCGCGCGCGGGCCTCATCGGCGGCGGCAGCCACCGGACACGGCTGCGCGCGCTACGTGCTGCCACCGAAGTTGCGCATCTGGTCGAAGAGGCCGAACGGCATGGGCGGTCCGATCTGCTCGACCTCGCTCTGCCCGGGGCTGACCTCTGGCGGGTGCTCGTCGCAGGCTGGCTTCTTCATGTGTTTCTTCATCGCCGTCGTCTTTGCCTTGGGCTTGGGCTTCGCCGCGGCGCTCGTGGCGTTCGCCTTGGACTTCACCTTGGGCTTCGCCTGGGTCCTCGCCGCGGCCTTCGCTTTGGACTTCACCTCGTCGTCCGCGTTCTTCTCCACTTCCTCTGGATCTTCCTCCTCCTCTTCCTCTTCCTCTTCCTCTTCATCGAGTTCTTCCTCTTCTTCTTCTTCCTCCTCGTCTTCGGGCTCGCCCTCGTTGGCTTTGCCGCCATCGTCTTCGCCCCTGCCGTCTTCGCCGTCACCAGGGTCGGACTCCGCCTTGCTGATGCACCCGCCGCCGACGTCGTCAGCGGGCTGCGCCGCGGGAGGCCGCTTGGCGCAGCCACCGCCGCCGCCGCCGCCGCCGTCGCTGGCAGCAGGCCGCTTCTTCGCCGATCCACTCGAGTGGATCTTCTCGACCTCCGCCTTCTTCGCCTTGAGGTCCTCCACCTTCATCTTGTTCGCCGCCAGGAGCTTCACCCACGTCACCGCGTACTTCCTCGCATAGCCCTCGGGCACGGCTTTGAACGAGAGCTGCGCCTTCTGCGACCCGTCGACCTTCACCACCACTCCAGGGTTATCGCGATCCAGCTGCTTCAGCGAGGCGACGCACGTGGTGCCATCCGCCCCCTCCGCGCTCAGCAGCTTGAGGGAGTTCTTGCCGCCTGCTGCCACGTGCATGCCGCGCCACGCGCTCACCGTGAGCGTCGAGAGCTCGCTGACGTAGCCATCGGGCCACTTCGCCCACATGAAGTGGTGGCCCTTGGCGTCCTCCTCCGCGTAGATGTCCACCGTCGGCTCAGGCGCCGTGCCTTTCGCCCTGCGGAAGGCGACCCGCGTGGTGGCGTCGTAATCCACCTTGTACTGCGTCGTGGTGGTGCTGTCGGCGGCGCACGCAGCTGGGGGCGTCGGCGCAGCTGCCCGCCGCGGTGCGCCTGCCGCCTGCTGTTTGGCCCGCAGCGTCACGAGCCAGCTCGGCGTCTTGCCACCGGTCTGCTCCTTTCTGATCGGGTCGTACAAGTGGCGGAACATACTCCTGATCATTTTGCCCTGCAGCTCGGCCCACTCCGTGATCACGTTGTCCTCCTGATCCTTGAGCTCGGGGATGTCCCGCGCGAGCTGCGTGAAGGCTTTCGCGCACGCCGTTGAGTTGAAGCTCAGGTTCGGGGCCACTGCTTCAAGAGCCGCGATCATCTGGGGGGGTCCGCGTTCCTCCCTCGCCCTCCTCCTGCCCATGCCCCTCGTCCCCCTCATCATCTCGTTCATCTTCCCCCCCTCCCATTTCCCCCTCATCCTCCTCTTCCGCGTCCGCCTCTCCTTCATTCCTTTCCTCCACTTCCTCCTTGTCATCCTCCCATCCTCGCCCTCTTCCTCGTCCTCCTCCTCATCCTCATCCATCGCCCCCATGTTCCACCCTCCCCCCATTCTGTCTCGCATGTGTCCACTGCCATCCCCCTCCGCCCGTCGTCGTCGTCGTCGTCGTCATCGTCGTCGTCGTCGTCGTCGTGTTGTCGTCCTCATCCTCCTCCTCCTCCTCCTCCTCCTCCTCCTCCTCCTCCTCCTCCTCCCCCTCCTCCTCCTCCTCCTCCTCCTCCTCCCCTTCCTCCTCCTCCTAATCCCACTCCTCCGTTTTAGCCCAGCGCAACCTCGTGATGCGCCAGGATCGCGTCCGTGCAGCTCTTGTCCAGCTTGTCGCGGCCAGGGTGGGCACCGTACTTCAGCCAGCCCCGCCTGCGAGCGAATGGGCGAAGCGCCGATGTGATGGCGTCGACGTCGCCGCATCGCACGCGAGTCGACTCGGCGTCGTCGTCCTCCGCCATGCCCCCGCCGCGGGGGCCAGGGGCGCCAGGGCCCCTCGGCCCAGGGGGGCCAGCCGAAATGGCTCCACCGGTCGACCGACGACACCAACGAGAGGGCGACATGGCGAGGATGACGATCAACGAGGAGGAATGGGGAGATGAGGAGACGTGAATAAATATTGCGGAGGGCGGGGGGCGATGGCAACGATGGCATCACCGAGGACGGCGTGAAGGGGTGCAGAAAGGAAGGCGACGACGAGGATAAGGACGAGAAGGCAGAGGCTGAGGACACGTCATCGATGCGTCATCGATGACGCATCGATGACGCGTCCTCAGGGGGGAAATCGAGGAGGGATGAGGAGGAGGAGGAGGAGGAGGAGGAGGAGGAGGGCGGTGAAGATGAAATTAACGAAAGATGAGGAGGGCGAGCGCATGGAAGATGATATGGAAGACGATTAGGGCGGTTGGGGCAGAGGAGAAGGCGAGCGAGCGAGGGTTACGAGAGGGATGACGATGAGGAAGCACTGAGGAGAATGCGGAGGATAGAATTGGAGAAGGACGGGGATCTACATGGGAGATTTGGAATGGGAGGTGGGGGAGAGGGAGGGGGATGGCATCGGGGCAGGTTTTTGGATGGAGGGGAGGAGGAGGAGGAGGAGGAGGAGGAGGAGGAGGAGGAGGAGAGCGACGACGACGACGCCCGACGACGACGACGACGTGCGGCAAGAGAGCACCGGATCCGCCTTGCCGCTCGGCCAGCAGCAGCTCCGCCGCCGCCGCCCTGTCGGCGGCGCCCAGGCTGCCCTCCGAGACCACGACCGTGTCCATGGCGGCGGCGGGCTCTGGGCCGCTGGGGCGGCGGCGGGGGGGGGAGACGGCCCAGCCCTGGGCCTTCCAGAAACGTTTGGCAGACAGAGAAAGGGGAGAATAGGTTCGACCTGAGGCCTTGGTCATGAGGGCTGCGGATATGCGTGCGCGCATGTGCTCGCGTGCGTGCGCGCGCGCGTGCCTGCGTGCCCGCGTGCCTGCGTGCGCGCGTGCGTGCGTGTGTGCGTGCGTGCGTGCGTGCGTGCGTGCGTGCGTGTGTGCGTGTGTGTGTGTGTGTGTGTGTGTGTGTGTGTGTGTTTGTGTGTGTGTGTGTGTGTGTGTGTGTGGTGTGTGCGTGCGTGCGTGCGTGCGTGCGTGCGTGCTGCGCGTGCGTGCGTGCGTGCGTGCGTGCGTGCGTGCGTGCGTGCGTGCGTGTGTGTGTGTGTGTGCGTGTGTGCGTGTGTGTGTGTGTGTGCGTGTGTGTGTGTGTGTGTGTGTGTGTGTACGCGCGTGCGTGCGCTTTTTTTTTTTTTTTGTGTGTGTGTGTGTGTTTGTGTGTGTGTTTGTGTGTGTGTGTGTGTGTTTGTGTGTGTGTGTTTGTGTGTTTGTGTGTGTGTGTGCGTGTGCGTGTGCGTGCCTGCGTGCCTGAGTGTGCGTGTGTGCGTGTGTGTATGTGTATGTGTATGTGTATGTGTTGAGTGTCGTGTTCGTCGTCGTCGGTCGGTTTTACGTCAATGTCGTCGTCTTCGTCTTCGTCGTCGCCTGTCTCCGGTCGCGCGTCGATCGCCGCCCCCATCTCCCGAGGATGTGAAGGATTTTGGGAAAACGGAATAGGGAATGAGTCAGAGGAACACGATTTTTGTGTTTTCACAGCGTGTTGCCCCGCATCGCGCGCGCGCACTATAGCGCGTGGCGATTGTTTTAGGGTTTTAGCTATAATACTATACATATAGTACACTCAAGTATTAACATAAGCCTCGAGCCTTATTATAAGACTTGAGTGTTATTTTAAGACTTGAGTGCTAAAATAACGTCAGCTTTCCTAACATGAGTCTCGCGGCCTATTATAGCAAGTCTTGGTCCTCAGGGCACGCGCTCCTCCTCGCCCCCCTCCTGGCCCGGCATCCCCACCCCGCAATTTCTCGCCCGAAACCTACCAGCGCCCCCCTCCTCGCCCCCCTCCGGGCCCAGCAACCACCCCCCGCCCCACAATTTCTCGTCACCTGTTGACGTATTCCATTTCCTCGATCCCCCACCACGTCCGACCCCTGCGTCGCCCTGGGCATCCCCACCCCGGGAGAGCTCTGCTCTTGGGACCTCCCACCCCACAACTTCTCGCCCGAAACCTACCGGCGCCCCGCCATCCCTGCCCCACGACACGTCTGTCATGGGACCCCCGAGCGCTCGCCCCCCCCCGCCTCGACCCATGACCCCGTTCCGGCGGGTTCGAGGCGCGCGCCCGACGCATGACACCTAGGTCGTCCTCTGTCTTTTTGTCACCGACACCCTGCTTCGCTCGGCGACCTCCTGCCTTTTCCGCTCTTCATCTGCGAAGCACTTGTTGCACCTCTGCTTCCCATCCGGGCCCTTCGTCGTCCGCTTGGCCAACCAGCTGCTAAAAAACCCTTCTTTCGAAAGCGCCCTTGCAAGCTATGCACCTCCACCATCCGCGCGGGAGCTTCGCGCCAGCGACGCAGCGCTTGCACTTGCGGTCTCGATCGGCCACGCCGCCCCACATCCACTTCGAAAAGCATTCACGCCGCTGCACCACCTCGCACACAACGCAGTCCTTCCCGTCCTTCCTCGCCGCAGTGTCCCGTTGTGCAGCCGCAGCGTCTACGCACTGGGTACACGCAATCGACGCTTTGGACACGTTGCACAACGTGTGAGCGGAAAACTCTGCCTTACTCTTCGACTCCCCACATTGTGAGCATACCACCCGCTTTGCCTCTGCAGGGCGGGCCTTCTCCTGCTCTCTCTGCAACTTCTTACAAGCCTTGCATGTGGGTTCGTCGATAACTTGTTCCGTTTTGGCATATTCAACCCGTAACTTCAGCTGGCCGCAGCGCGAACACTTCAGGTGCGTCTTCAGCTCCTCGCACTCTAAGCACATCCCCCCTTTGCACCGGCTGTTCCCTGCCAGGCCCCACTGATACGGCGCGAACCCCTCTTCGTACTTGCGAGCATCGCACACGCGGCAGTTCCGCCTCTCGGGGCAGTCCAGGCAACGCCGCGTCGTCAACTTGGACGGGTGGTGCTGTGAGACGTGGAAAGCCTCCTGGCACTTCCAGAGAGCACACTCCATGCATTGCCACGGCGTGCCCGCCCTCTTCTTGTCTTCCAGGCGCACGCTGCACACGCGAAGCCCGTCTGCGCGGCTCCACTGCCCCACCGTCGGGTACATGTTCTTGTACTTCATGCACCCGCAGACCGCGCACCTGCCGGACGGCATGAACTCCTTCTCTATGGCCGCCCAGTCCAATTCTTCCCCGCGCAAGGTGCGCAGCAGCAAGTCCGGGCCTCTCCGTTCGTCCTTCTTCTGATACGGCGCGATGTCGAAAGGACGAAAGATGAGCATGTCCTCACGGCGCTGCACCCGCGTCAGCGCCACGTAGCTCGACAGAGGCGATGTGCCCCCGCCGATACTCAGGTCCACGATGACACCTTGCTTGAATGTTTGCCCCTGCGCCGCGTGGGCCGTCACCCCGAAGGCCGGGGCTAGCGGGAACTGCCGTCTTTTTACCTTCAGCCGCGGTTGCGCACGACCTTTGTCCACGAACCAATCCTTCTTTTGCGGAACCACCGGATGCAATCCGGGCGTCCTTAACCCCTCGATCGTCCACTTGCACGGCTTCCGACCGCCCTTCCCGTCGTCGCCTTCGTCGAACAACACGAAAATCACTTTCGGTGTTTTCTTCGCAATGGTCTCTCCGCCGCGCGCGACCTGATCGTGCCCCCCGTCCCCGTCGCAAATCCAAGACTGCACGCGCCCGACGCGACCGCGCAGGAGGTTCTTCTCGTCGCTTCGATCGATGTGATCGGTCAGAGCGACAGGCATGCCTTCCGCGATTGGCAAGAACCCGTACAAGTCTCCGCTCTCCTTGTCGTGGCGCTGGAGCCACGCCATTTTCTGCTGAGGCAGATCTGGTCGCTCGCGGAGCGCCTCGGGCGTCGGCGTGTCCCGCGCAGGCACGTACACCATCGGCTTCCCGTGCCTGCGGGCGTACTGCGACGCACGGAGCTTGTTGGCCTCATACTTGACGTCGTTGTTCGGGAACACACCCGGCGCGACGAGGAACTTCTCCGACTGCAGACGCGGGTCGTTGGGGCCATCTACCACCAGCCGGCGCCGCGCACGTTCCTCCCTGCAAACCTGGCACTCCTGCTGGCGGATCTCCCTCGGCGTCGCTTGGCGTCTTCGTCGTTGTCCTGCTGCCACCCCCCCTGCATTCCCTGCGCCATCGCACAACTCCCGGCACGCTGGATTCCTGCACTTCACGTCCCCGTGCAGCCAGCTACCCGTGACGGTGGTATCCCTGCCGTGCAAGAATGCGCGCGCGTTCGCCGTCAGCGCCCCTGTACGGAATTATTCCTGCACCTCCTTCAGCCAGGCGTCGTCGCACCGCTCGCACTCTTCCAGCTCAGTCACGCCCTGGACCCCGCACTCGGGCCCACCCCGCAGCAGGGATTGGCCATGCAGCACGGGTGGCAGGGAGGTGTACTTGCGCGCCGCCGAGATGCGCTCGGTGTGGACGTCCGCAAGGAAGCCTCCGTCGGGGGGTGCCAGTTGCCAGAAGTCACCACTCAGCACGACGTTCAAGCCGCCGAAAGGGCGCGGCACGCCTCCGTCTCCGCGCTTCGTCGTGCCCGCGTCCCGGATGACCCCGCGCAGTTTCGCGTCCACTTCTGCAAGTAGTCTGGCGCTCACCATGCTGATCTCGTCGATGAATAGCCACCTCCACTGGAGCACGCGCTTGCCAGTCTCGTAATGCAATTTGACATCCTCCCCCTTCTCTTCTCCCCTCTTGATGGCCGGAATGCCGCACGCATGGTGGATGGTGTCCCCGCCTAGCAGCTGCGCCATGACGGCTTACAAGGCGGTGATTTGGAAATGCACGCCGATCTCCCACTTCATCAATCTCTCGAACAACTCTTGACGCAGAATGCGCAACACGTGTGATTTGCCCGTCCCCGGGCCACCGTGCATGCACCACTGCAGGGGCTCGCCCATGGCCGCTTCCCCTCTTCCTTCGCCGTCGATCTCTTGCATTACACGACACGCTACCTTCCTCACCATCTCGAACTGTTTCGCGTTCACTACGCGCCGCCCCGTGTGCTCGCCCACTCGGAACTCGAGCTCCTCCAACCACTTTGCCACGTCGGCCGACGTGGCGGCCGCGCCCGCGACGACCACTCCTCCGTCAGCATCTGCCATCCTGTCAGCCATCGAACGCTCCTTGTTCCGAGATTTTCGCGCTTCCATGAGTACCTGATCTAAGTCACAGGACTCTTCAGCTGGCCACGACCCTTTCACTTCGCTGAGCGGCGTTTCGCCGTTCCGAAGACCCCGCGCCTGCTGCGCGACGGCCATGCCCCCTTTCGAGTTGTCGTAGTGCGACGTGCCCCCTGCTCCCTGCACGGCGTCCGCGTCGCCGTCCTCGCTGCTGCTGTCTCCGTCGCCGCCCTTCCGTCTCTTCCCGCCCACGCGCGACTTCAGCGCCTCGTCGAGCTGATCGAAGCCCACGTCCAATTCCTCATCGCTCACGTCCTCGTCGCTCCGTTCCTCTGGTTCGTCTGCATCCCGTGGGCGAACGCGATAGACACTCAGAAAGTTGCCCACGTACCGCGCGGACTCCTTCGTCTGCACACCGCCGTCAAGCCACGCCACCATGGCCGCGCCCCACGTCGGTGCTTCCCCGCGCAGGCTCCCTGCGAACACTACGTGTTGGTCCGCCGCGTCGAGCCTCAGGGTCCACGGGTGGAAATACGTCATGACAATGCGCGCCGATCGCTCCGCTTCCCCTGGACGCCCGCGCGGCACGGGCGCTCCAAAAAAGGTTGGTGCCATGGGCCTCTTGTTCCGCTTCAGAGCCCAAGTGTGGCGAAGGTGGGCGCACCCTTCTGTGTCCGGATAAGGAACCCAATCGTCGCCGCCGTCTTCCTTCACCCTGTAGTCCTCCCCGGGTACCAGGTCCTCCTCCTGTCTCTTGTTCTTGCAATTCTGACGCAGTTTGTCCTTGCCCCCCTCCGTCAAGACCGCATGATGGCGCGGGTGTTCCGCATCCCCGACTCTCGTCGGATAGGACAGCAACACCGGCGTCCAGTACGTTGCGAACTCGTACGGGGACAACTCCCAAAGGCCGGAACTCTTCGGTCGAAGCCCATACAACATGCCCACGTCCCGAACAGTCACCTTTCGGCGCCTCTTTTGCCGCATGTCCACTTCCGCAAACAGAGCTTTGCGACCACCTATCGCGCGGTCTGCAAGGCGCTCGACCAAGTCCACGTACTCTCGACCGTAGAAGGCTGTGGTCTCGCACGACTTCAATGATTCCGCCGCAGTCACGTCGTTCTCTCGCGCGAAGGCCCTCAGGTTCGCACACTCCACTTGGCCGCGCACGATGCCCTTGCCGTAAGCGTCGCTCATGATTCGGTTTGCTACTCGCTTACCGATCCGATTCACGTGTTCGCCCTGCAGCTGCCTGCCGAGCTTCTCGACTCCCTTGCAACACTCTTTCACCTCGTGGAAAGCCATGGGCTGCCGCTTCGTGCAGTAGTCACAGGCGTACCCTGCCTGTGCGTCTTGCGCAAGCTGCGCGACCTTGATGATCGCTCCGTCGTTGAGCTTCTGGTCGCACGCTTTCCCACACGTACAGCAGACCTGCGTGATAGGGAACCGATACGGCAGCTGCACGTCCGAGTTAAATCGTTGCGCGGACAACATGCACGGATGCGTGCCGTTCAGGCTCGCATGATTCATCGGCCCGTGTAGGCTGCCCGTCCTATTCCGACGCCCTGCCTTCGGCATGTCCAATATCACCGCCTGCCCCGGACACACGACAATAGCGCGGTCAATGATCTGCGCCGTGCGCGGGAAATCCACCTTACACAACTTCGGGTTGTCCTTTCGTCGGCACGCTGGCAGAGGCACTCGCTCCCCGGTCTCTTCGTTCTTCAAATGCACGTGGTTCTGCTTCCTCTCCTGCAAGTACTGCACGTCCTCGTCCAGATGCGCTCTCTCCCATTCCACAGCGTCGTCTTCAGCCTCCGTCTGCGTCGCATCGGTTCGAAGGGTGCGCGTCTGATACGCGGGCCTGCAGAGGAGACCGCCCTCGGCGTTGAACTCTAGCCACGACTTCTCAGCCTCCTCCAGCCTCCGATCGATGTCCTCCTTCGAAATCTGCTGAGAGTACACCTGGCGACACACGCGACTCTTATATTCCAAATAATCCTCCACGATCTTCCGCCCCCGGCCTTGCACGTCGCCGCGGACGATTTCAACAACCTCTTCCAGCGGCGAGTGCTGGTGTAGGCACTGGATAAACACCTGGCAGTGTGCGTGAAGAGACCCCGTGGATTTCTGCGCCTCTATGGACACGTAGTAGGCATCCACTCGCCCGAACGCGCCCCCGCCCGGCTTGGCATTGCTGCCGAACAGGTCCTGGCAGGGGACCCCCTTTTCCACGTGATTGCACCGCGGGCAGTTCGGGCGCGTCCGCAACCCGAACAGGTGGCGGAGCGTCGCGTCCACGAGGATGCGGAAACCGTCAACGCTTGCCATGGGATCTCGCGCGAGTATTCGGCGACGCTCCGCCCACGACGGCACGCCTGCTTGCGCCGCTCCCATCGGAAGGTCCATGCGCGCTTCGTCGACGTCGGGGGCGACGCGCGGCCAGGCCCGATCCCCCGCCAGCCGCGACTGCGCTTCATCCTCGGCTGCTCTGTGGATGGGGTCCTGTCGTCGCGTGCGCGACAGGCGGACCATGAGCAGGTTGTGTCCTTCGTCGGGCGAGAAAGTTACAAATATTGGCACGCCATACCGGACCCGCAGAGCGTTCGTCTCAAACCGCAGAACACGACGAGCTTCCTGCGTGCCAGGCAATCGCCGCGACGTGTGCTCAATGTGATTGAGGAGCTTGTGGGCAGCTCTCCCCGAACTTGGCACGTGCCGCACTTTCGTCATGTCACCCTTTACCTTCTGCTTCCGATTGTTGATGTCCACGTACTTCCCGTCGAGCGCGCGATAAATCTGCTTCGCTCCTTCGCCGATCTCCTCCGGTGTCAGCTGTTCCACCTCGCCGGTGGTGCTCGGTGCCACGTACGTGAACCACGTCTTGCTCAGATTCACTGCCGAGCGAAATACGAGGTTCCACGACACGAACCCGAAATGCCAATCACGGCACAGCTGGCTCTCAACGCGGCGACTCATTATCCGCACCCACAGCGGCAGCTCCACCCGCGGCGCACCACTCCCTCGTCGCTGACGTGGACGCTTCATGAACTCCGGGCAATCTGGCATGCCTGTGCAGTACTTGAACAGAAACGCGAACGCGACGCCGAAGTACCAGGGCTCGAACTGGTCCATCATCACGTTTCCCGTGCGCACGCGGAGGCGATCCACGCGTTTCCCCTCGCTCGTGGCCTGCGCAAGCATGCCTCGCTTCATTATCTCTCGCGGCGCCTCCTCCGCGCCAGAGGCCGCTTCCTCGCGCACGCAGGCGCGCTTGCACGCACGTTCCGTCTGCCCGTCGTCACCCTCCTCCGCGCTGGAACTTGACGTCTCGTCGGCCTCGCCGTGCACGCAATCCTCATCCAGCCGTTGCACGAAGGCGCGCACAGCTTCGATCCGTTGCGCATTGATGTCTCCCTCGTCAAAGCTGCTCTTCTCACACACCACAGCGTTCGTCTTCGTGCTCTCCAAAATCTCTGCCGCCTCCTTCACTCCGTGGGGCCGCGGCACGGGCGTCGCTGCCTTCTGCATCTGGACCTTGTCGAGCGCATCGTCCAGGGGTACCAGGAGCATGATCTCCGCTGGCACGCCTTTTTCCGGAAGCTCCATCGCCCTCTTGCGAACGTCATCCATGTCAACGTGCTGGTAAGCGCGATGCCCTCGAGCCTTCGCGCCTTCAATAAGCTCCACGACCACCTTCCTGCGCACTAGAGCCTGGTGTACAAATGAGGCCATGCTTGCAGCTGTGTCGTCGTCGCCGCCCGACTTCAATATCACAGACGCGACGCCTGCCAACTCCGCCCCCGTGCGTGGCAGTGGCGGCGCGTGCCCCTCCGCAGCACTCGCGTCCGCTGCAGTCAACTGCGCTAGCAAGTCCGTCCACGGCATCGGGAACGACGTCGCGTTCCCGCGCGCCGCCATGCGGACTTCGTTCCCGCCCGTTTCCATATCGAAAGCTCGCTCCTTCCGATGCCGCTTCTCCAGCGTGAAACACACCATGGACGTGATGCACACTGACGCACATATCATTTCCAACACGGTCACCTTGCGGCCAAAAAGTTCCTCCGGCGAGTAGAATGCCATCATGTCATTGGCCAGCGCCGCGGGAGGGAGCGCCGCTTCGCCGCGGGCGCCAGCCATCGCGTTCCCACACTCCCCGCACAACGGAGCTTCGCAACAGCTGCACGCGGTGTTCTCCGAATGCCACACGCCGCTGCCGCATCGCATGTCCTCGGGGCAACAGAGCACCCTCACGGGCCCTTCTTCTGATGGCACGGACACGTGCCAATCGTCGAACACCTCCATTCGGTCTCGGAGATGCACGCCGCTGCTCCCCTCCCCGGTGGCATCTACTTCGCCGAGCCGCTCCACGTACGCGTCCACCGTCATATGTTCCCTCACAAACGCGCCTGGGAGTCCAAAAAATCAGCCCCCGTTAGGCGACGCCGCACGCCATTCGATCGGGTTTCCTCTGCGGCCCTCCACGTGAGGAAACTTCCGTGCGCACATCATGCACACGAGAGAGTGGACGGCGTCTTCCCGCAGACTTTGCCCATACTCGCGTAGGCATCGACGATCGATAGCCAGTGCTGCAAGAGGCGCCCCCTCGCGCACTTTCCAGGCAATGGCCTCGTTGTACGCTGACCAGCACTGCGTCTCAGTTCGCTTGGCTTCGTCTTCCCCATGGCACGCCAGCGTCACCGCGACCTCCTGAAGGACTTCACGGTGCAGACTTACCACATGCGCTCGGAGCTCCGCGTCGCTGGACCCCTGCCACCCGCAATCCCTGAAAGCGCAATGTGCATGTGGAAGCACAACGGCACCGCACCCGAAGATGGCATCGTTCTTCAACGCTCTTCCGTGCACGGAGACGTCCGGCACAGTGGGGTGGTCTTTCAGGAGCCCTGCTGTTGCCCGCAGACCCTCTTCCCTACTCCCGCGGCTTCCGTCGGCGGACACGTGCCCGTTGCCGACTGCGCGGACGCGGTGCACGTGCGCTGCGCCCGCTCTCCCTTCGGCCTCGTTGTCCACCACCCGAGCTCTGCTCTTCCCCGTGGCGCTCTCACCCGCCACCCACTCAGTGGCGTGCACCTCCGCGCTCCGAGATGGCGCAGACAGTGGGCCATGCTCCCTCTCCGAATTTCGCGCCTCCTTGGGCGAGCTTCCTCTTCTGGCGTTCCGCGCACTTCCCTGGCGGGCCGCTGGGTGCGGAGGCGGAGGAGGGGGTGCCTGGTCGAACGGCTCCATACAGTCGTCGTCCTGTGTTAGAGATGCTGGAGCGTTGGCGCCCGCAGCGTCCGTAACCGTCGGCGGCCTCGTGCCTATGACGCGCGAACGTTTCGCCAGCCCACTCGTGCTTGCGGCCCCCGCGTCCGACGTTATTGCCCCGCTCGCCTCCGTAGCGTCGGGCCCCCCCCTGCGCTGCGCACTGCTGCGCGAGCTCTCCTGGGCGCGCGCCCACACGGGTCTGAAACAGGTGCTTCGGATGCCCATCCCAGTCTCGTTGTATACTGCGAGCACTGCGACTTCGTCATCTTCGGTGACATCCACCCCGAGCAGCCATTCGCCCAGCGCAGGGCTCTCCCCCGAGCTCCGCTCGGGACATTCCTATGTCAAGTCTCCCGCGCGGCCCACATTCCCCGTCGAAGCGGGGGTGCACGCGCAGAATGACCCTCTCGGGCAGCGCTACTCCTTGCATGGCGTGACGGGCCAGGGCGAACCTCACGATCTCGCCTGCGTGGACGGCGTGCCGGAGCTCTCCTTCGTGGGAGCTCGGGTGGAGCCACGAATCATCGACGTTCTGCAAATGATGCACGCACGCTTCGCACGCTACGCGACGCCCCTCTGCCGATGCGACCGAGGGCTCGCGCCACCCAGCGTCGGCCAAGAGCTGGAATAAACTGTCCGTCAGACTCGACGCACCTCCGTGGCCGAGACTGACCTATCACCAACCCTGCGCGTTCCATGTCCGCGGCGCGTTCGACGTCCGTCTTGGCCTCATGCACCAATGCCCCATCAGGAACTCCATGAACTTCACAGTGTACTCTTCCACGACACGGCACCTGTCCTCTGCGTCGGAGGCGCCCGCCAGCGCGTCCCACGCGCGCTCCCAGCCAGGCCATGCTCGTACCCAAGTCTCCTGCATGACTCGCCCGAGGGACTCCGCCCCACCCCACTCTCTCCAGAGACGCGCGCGGAGCTCTCCCGGCACAAACTCCAGCCCAGGCACGTCCCACGCCTCCGGCGCCACGCGCGGATTCCGGAGAAGACGTAACGCGCGACAGTCGGCCTCCCGGATGACCCGCACTGCCGCGAGCAGATCACGCGGGAGAATGTGGACGGCCGGGGCGCCACCTCTCTTGGCGCCGACGCCCTGCATCACCGACCCATCGCGCTGGCTCACCCCATCTCGGTCTCCCGCGTCGTCGCGCGACGAGTGACGGCTTGTCCGCGCGCCCTCGGTCGACCACAGCGCTGCCGCGTCACCGCTGGCCGCGCCCCGCGAAGCATCGCCCGCTGAAGAACTGCTCGCGCTGCCACCGCCCTTCGGCCCCGCCACCCGCGATCCCGCCGGACCCGGCGTCGCCGGCACGCGCGCGCACAACAGTATGTGTACCGACGAGTCCGCGGCAACGCGCCACTCGCTTTCGTCGGACGGCGGCGCGCTTCGCCTCGCGTCACCGTCATCCCGCATTTCCCAGACAGGCCCGTCACAACCGGTCGTTCGGACGCAGGCATTATAGTGGCCCGTGTGGAATCCTTCGCCGTGATGAAACACGCAGCTCACCAGCTCGTATTTCCGTCCGCTGATTACTAACTCTTCACTGGGCACCACCGCATGCGGGATCTTCCACACCCTCTGCGACGCGAGATCGAAGTCCTGCGCAATCAGCTGGACCCAAAGGCACTGCGGCGCCCGCGTCAAACGCCACTCCTTCTTCGCCCTTCGACAGTCGCACCCGCGCGGGCATGCCCACCTGCACGCTGCCTCCATCACCTCCCCCCTACAGCTGCTGTCGATTGCCTCTTGCATCGTTCTCACCGCGCCGCGCATGCCGTTAGAAATGGGCACAGTCAAGCAGGTGAACTTTCTGTGCCCTTCTACCGCAGGGGAACCGTTGCAGCCCACCTTCGCGCACACCAATCGTTCAACCTTTTCCATCTGGAACTGCGCGCTCACGATGGGCGCCCGGCCCGCGTCCACGAGCTCCTGCAGCATCTCCCCTGCGTCTTCCTGTGTCCCGCTATAAAACACACGCGGCAGTGCCTGTAATTGCGCCGGCAGCGGCCCGGGACTTGACTCCATCTCGCGCAGCGTCTCCGCCAGCAGGGCGTCGAAATTCGGCTCCCTCCTACTCCGCTGCTGCTCACTGCCGCGATCCGCAAAACGCCACCCAGCCCACTCTCCTGCGCGGCCCTGCCGTGCAGCGCGCAACGCGACGCGAACGCCGGGAAGAGCGAAGAGCGCCTGCACAGACGCGCTCATGAAGCAATACCACCGAGGGTTCCGTAGGCCTGGCAGCACTGGGATCACCGTGTCTGCGTCGCTGCGCTGGGCATCTGCCGCCGTCTCAGCTTTGACGTTGTGCGCGGATTGGTGCTGCGATGGCACGCGCTCTACCATGCGCTCTGATTTCGCGGGCGTCTTCTGCGCCCCTGCTGGCCTGTCTGAACTCGCGGTTGCCGCCGCCGCCGCGCCCCCGCCCCCGCGCGAGGCGCCTGCCACGCAACGTCGCCGCGGAGCCCATGCCGGATCGCCCTCCACCCCGCCCAACGCGCCGTGCCCCCGCGCCACGCGAACGACATGGCCTGCGGACAGCCAAACAGCGGCCCCGATGCAACGGCCGTCTGGATGACCAAGCCGCCACCGAACACACACTCTCTCCCCTATGAGATCCGCGACGTGATCGGCTCCGTAGAGCCACGCGAAAACGCTTCGCTCGCTGAGCCACCGCTCGACCGCATCGACATTGTTTCTGGGCACCACACTCTCCGTGCTCTTACCGGACCATGCGTTATTATGACACTCTCGCGCGAAATATCGCAAGGCTTCACGGCGCCAGCGACCGCGCTGCATGCGCGCCGCGGCAACTTGCAAACATTTGTTATCCCAGCGCCCCACAGTGCCTTCATCTTCCGCCAAAGTCGCCACGGAGGTCGCCGGCGCGCAGGCCGCGTACGCCGTCCACGCCGCCGAAACCAGCAACATACCATCACCAACTGTCGGGAAGAGCACACCGTCGCTCTTTCCGCACATCGGGGTGCCCACGCTCCCCTCGTCGTTGCCGCGACGGTGCCATTGCACCTTCCGGTTCGCGCCAACCCCCGGCGAACGACGCGCGCAGGTTGCGCGAACGCTCCCCACGCGACGCGCTGCGCGGCCCGACACCCACGTCGCGACACGCCTCAACCCACACGGATTCAAAGCATGCCCTAGAGCAACGAAAAGAATTGCGCGCAGCACGTCGAAGAACGAGGCGTCCACGACGTCGTCCGTCTGCCTTCCAGCGGCACAGCATCTACTCGGGGCTCTTATCGCAGCCGCGCGCCTGTCCCGCGTCCTAGCAACGCACGTCCGCGCTGTAGGGTTCTGGCGGCCACAGGCCATGCCTCCTCCTCCTCCTCCTCCTCCTCCTCCTCCTCCACCTCTTCCGTCTCCCCTCGCCGTGTTCGCTACGTGGCCCGCTATACGTATTCTCCGAGCCCGCCACGTGCGCCTCCGCGGCAGTAATCGGTGTTGTCTCGCGCCGCCATGCGCCCGACGCCGGCGTCTCCCGGCCGCGTTGCCCGCGTCTCGCACACGACTCGCACGAATCTCCTCGGAGCTTCGCAACTGCATCCTCCTTTTGTTGCGCACTGGAGCCGCCGGAATGAAAACCTGCTGCACATTCCTCTCTCTTTGTTCCGAACCACGCGCCTGGGGCACAAATCGCGATAGTTCTCCTCTTCTATCGCGCCCAGAAACGGTTTCGGAGACATTTCGCGGCCGCGCCCCCTTTCTGTCGCTCGCAGCTCGCATCGGGGGTAGGGTTCCATCGCCAACACATGGTACATTCATCGGGAGTATCCCCCTTGTGTCGTTCAGTGAACGCGTTTCGGAACAAGAGTCGCGAAAGCTTCAACCTTCTATCATTCAGAGGACGAGCCTGGGACGAAATTTGCAAGAGTTTCCCCCTCCTGCCGCCCGGAAAACGCTCCTTTGGACAAATTCGCAATACTTTCCCCCTTCTACCCTTCGGAGAACGAGCCTGGGAAAAAATTCGCGATAGTTTCCCCCTTTGATCGTCCGGAAAACGCATCTTCGCAAAAATCCGCGATAGAGCGTCCAGGGTGGTTGTAGATTTATGCAGTGACGCGGCGAGGACCCGGAGGTCCTTACCACGACACACCCCTCCCGGGGGACCGGCCTGACACCGGCTGGCCCGGAGGCCCATGCAGGAACGCGGGTGTGCCATTGCTGACACACGCCACGAACCACCCCGTTTCCGGGGGACCGGCTTATGGACACCGGCGCTCCCTCGGTTGATTTTGGTACAACCGGTAAAACCCTCGGTTGGTTTTGGCCCAACCGGTAAAGCCCTCGGTTGATTTCGGTACAACCGGTAAAACCGTTCATCGCCGCGCCCCGCGCCCTCGCGGCCCCGCAGGGGGGACCCGCAGCAGGAGGGAGCCAGATGTAGCTTTGATAGCGCTCAAGGCCACTTGAGCCTGCGGCACGGCGTTCGGCCAATGCGGATCGTCCCCCCGTGTCTCGTCGTCGTCGTCGTCGTCGTCGTCGTCCTCGTCGTCCTCGTCGTCCTCATCGTCGTCCTCCTCGTCCTCCTCCTCCTCCTCCGCCCCCTCCTCCGGTTCATTGTCTCGTGCCTGTGACTCCTCGTCGTGCTCCTCCTCATTGAGCCGGGCGGGCGAACAGCGTCCTCTTCCTCCTCCTCCTCCTCCTCCTCCTCCTCCTCCTCCTCCTCCTCATCCTCATCATCATCATCATCATCATCATCATCATCATCATCATCATCATCATCATCATCATCATCATCATCATCATCATCACCATCACCATCACCATCATCATCATCATCATCATCATCATCATCATCATCCTCCTCCGTCTCCTCATCGGAGTTCCTCTTCCTCCTCCCCCTACTCTTCCACGCGGACCTCCTCGGGAACCCGCGGTATCCTTGAAGCTACTCCTACTCGGAGTCCCTCCTCCTCCTCCTCGGAGTTCCTCCGAGCCTTGAGCCCCGATCCTCCCTCCTCCATGCTCCTCCATCTTCGATTACGTTCCTTCATCCGTTTCCTCCTCCTCCTCCTCCTCCTCCTCCTCCTCCTCCTCCTCCTCCTCCTCTTCCTCGATACTCCATCCTCCTCGTCGCCCTTCTCATCCTCATCCTCATCATCCTGATCCCCGTCCTCATTTTCCTTGATCCTCCGCAACGTCCTCGTCGTCCACCTCCTCCATTTGCCAGCGCTCGTGTTGGAGCACCCTTCCCAATGGAGGACGTGGCCGGCGCTCGAGCGGCAGCGCCATCGCCACTCGAAAATACGGACACCTCTGAAGCGAAAGTACCGTTCCCAATCAAGGATATGACCATCGCGCGGAGTCAGCACCACTTCTAACACGGATGTGGCCCCCGTTCCGCCGAAAGAACCACCAAGGACGCGGTCAACGCTCGAACTCGAACGCCGTATCCATTCAAGCACATGACCAGCGGGCCTGGGCTGTCGGTGAGGAACCTCTTGGATGCATATGAAGGTCTCTGGGAATGCCTCTCGGGGACCTGTGGGGGGCTCTCGGGGCCTCTTGGGGACTCCTTGGGTTCCTCTAGGGGGCTCTTGGGGCTGTCTCAGGGTGGAGGAGGGCTCGACATGTCACATCGGGCTCCCCATCTTGGGCCCCTCTTGGGGCCGTATTTGGGGCCTCTTGGGTTCGTTTTGGGCGCCTCTTTAACAATGTTGGCGCCCTCTTGGGCCGTCTTGGGGATGCCTTGGGAGCCTCTTGGGCCGTCTCGTACGCCCTGAGAACCGAACTGATGAAAATGCGAAAATCACACCAAACCTACGGGGAAACACAATGAGTTTAGCCTCCCGGGTGCTTCTTGGGGGCTCTCTGGAAACCCTATTGAGGCGTATTGGAGGCCTCTTGGGCCGTCTTGAAGTCATCTTGGGCCGTCCTCAAGCGCTCTGGGGCCGTCTCAAAGCCCTCCTGGACCGTCTGGGGGGCCTCTTGGAGCCTTCTTGGACCGTCATGGGCCCCACTGGCTTCGGGGCTACAGTGGGATATATGTAAACACACACACACATACACACACACACACACACACACAAAAAAAAAACACGAATGCACGCACGCACGCACGCACGCGCGCACGCACGCACGCACGCACGCACGCACGCACGCACGCACGCACGCACGCACGCACGCACACGCACGCACGCACGCACGCACACACACACACACACACACACACACACACACACACACACACACACACACACACACACACACACACACACACACACACACGCGCACGCACACACACACGTGTACATATACATACCTAGCACCCCGCAATTGCGGATAAGAGTGAGGGCGGGCGCGGGCGACGCGGGCGTCGTCGATCCGGCGGACCTCGTGGCCCCACCTTCCCTGTCGATGGCGCTCTCCTCCTCCTCCTCCTCCTCCTCCTCCTCCTCCTCCTCCTCCTCCTCCTCTTCCTCGTCCTCATCGTCATCGTCATCGTCATCGTCATCCTCCTCCACCTCGTCCTCCTCCTCCTCTTCTTCCTCGTCATCCCTCTCCCCCCCTCGTCCTTTCATCATCGTCCTCCCATTGTCGTCCTCCCCCTCATCGGCCTCCATCATCGTCCTCCCATCGTCGCCCATCATCATACATCATCCTCCCCACCTCCCCCTCCTCGTCCTCCTCCTCCCCTCCTCCCCCTCCTCCCCCTCGTCCTCCTGCTCCTCCTCCTCCTTTTCTTTCTCCACGTTCTCCTTACATCCTCTCTTCTTCCACGTTCTCCTCGTCCCCTGTTTACTCATCCTGCCTCCCCCTCCTTTCCCAAGATAACTGCAACGCAATCCTGTTTTCCACTCTATGCTCCCCGCCTTCTCTGATCAAGGCAACTCGCCAGGGCAAAGTTGCTGGACGGGCTGGCGTGGATGCGCGGGGCGTGAAGAGGTCCTTGCGGGCTCAGACGGCATGCAAGAATCCGCCGCCGCGCTTGTGCGGCATTGGTTCGTTCAGTGAACGTGGTTTAGGTCGCGGGTGGGTCGCGGCTTCCACCTCCACCGGACGGAATGCAAAAGCAGCCCGCCCAGCGCCAAAAAAATTGGTTGTACCGGAAGCGAGGTTTGGGTCGCGGGTGCCGCCGGGTGTCTCCAAAAAAACAAGGAAACTAATGCCAAAGGATGCCGCCGCAAGCGCCGAAAATGTGGTTTGTACCCTGAACTTGGTCGCGGGTTGGCCCGCGGGCTCTCTCCACCTGAAAACGAATGCAAATATGGCCCGCCGCAGGCACCGAAAAAATGCGGTTTGTACCCTGAACGTGGTTTGGGTCGCGGGTTGGTCGCGAGGTCAACGGGATGTTCCGCGGGCTCTCCACTTGGAAGGAAGGCAAAAAAGCCCGCCGAAGGCGACCGGAAAAATTGTGGTTTGTACCTTGAACGTGGTTTGGGTCGAAGGTGGGTCGCGGGTGGGTCGCGGGTATGTCGCGGGTGGGTCGCGGGCGGGTCGCGGGTGGGTCGCAGGGTGGGTCGCGGGGTGTGTCGCGGGTGGGTCGCGGGTGGGTCGCGGGTCGGTCGCGGGGTGTGTCGCGGGGTGGGTCGCGGGGTTGGTCGCGGGGTGGGTCGCGGGTGGGTCGCGGGGTGGGTCGCGGGTGGGTCGCGGGGTGGGTCGCGGGTGGGTCGCGGGTGGGTCGCGGGGCGGGTTGCGGGTGGGACGACGACAACAAACAACAACAACAAACAACAACAACAACAACAAGAATCCGCACCGCGGAATTCCACATCAGCCACGCACCCAGGGACAGTGAATGACCGTTCGGCCCCCTCACTCTGATTTGTCATAATCGTCATATTCCCCTTCCTTTTTCCTCATCATGATTTCCCGCATTTGCGCTGTTTTGGCACACTTCATACAGGCATGATGCATGGATCAACCAACGTCACTGCGAGAGGTTGTTGGCATCAAGAGAAAGATCGAAACAATATCGCACATCAACTGTGCCAAATTATGGCAACCGCACGCGCGTAGCAGAGCGCCATGCATGAGCACGAGAATTAGACAAATAAGCAACGCGCTTTTCTAAATATGGGAGTGCGCGCTTTTTGGTGGAAAGACTACCTGGCGAGGGAGAGGGATAAGCCATACGACATATTTACCGTGCTCCACCACCGGCGTCCCAGACGCATGGTGCCAACACAAATAAGCAAAATGACGACATGTCCTTCCCGGCCAGTTGGTTGAATCCGGCCCACGGCGGGGATGAGGTCTTCCAGAAACGTCCGACAAACATCAAAACGACGTCGATATCGTCGTCCCCTCGCAGGGCCCACACTGGAATGTTGTTCGCGCTCCGTCCAGCGGTGGCGACAGGAACCTCCAACAACGCCCAACAAGCTCCGATACGTTGACGTGGACGTCGTCGTGCTCCCTCGCGAGTCCACTTCATCCCTCACGATTTTTCGCGACGCGCACCGCGGACCACACGAGAGCGGGCGGGCGGGCCGGGCCAGGTCAGCAGCAGGCGCCC